GTCCTTGGGCCAAATAAGTGATTCGTGCCAAATTTCATCCAAATCGGATCATAAATGTGACCTGTACTTTGTTTAAAATTTAACATCTACAGACGGACGGACGGACATGCATAAATCGACTTAGAAAGTGATTCTATGCATATTATCCAAAGGAACCATGTGTCTATCTCGTTTCCTTTTCCCTGCTACAAACATATGCACAAAGACACAATACCCTGTACCATAGTGAGGTGAAGTGTATAAAAAGGGGGTTACATGTGGACTACCCCTAAAAGGGGCGAATATTTATAATGTTTGGGATGGAGGTTTGTTACCATATACGACTACAAAAAACCAAATTACAAAGAATTTGGTTGAAAAATGCGCTCATGAACCCCAAAATACCGAAAATTGAGGGCCCCTTATATGAGGGTACCCTTATATATATATTTATAATTTATAGTGGAGAGATTTGCTACCTAATAAGAACTCGGCGTACTAAATTACAGTCAATTCGGTCGAAAAATACGATCAGAACCCCCAAAATACCAAAAATATGGGGTACCCTTATATGGGGACTATCAGAAAAACTGGACCTATATTTATAATTTTTTGTGGAGTTATTTGATACCCAATAAGAACCCAACGTACAAAATTTCAGAGAATTCAGTTATAAAACGAGCTCAAGAACCTCAAAATCCCGAAAATCGGGGGTACCCTTATATGGGGACTAGCCGAAAAAATGAACCTATATTTGCTACCCAATAAGAACTCAAAGTACCAAATTTCAGCGAATTCGGTTGAAAAATGCGATCAAAACCCCCAAAATACCGAAAATTGGGGGTGCCCTTATATGGGGACTATCCGAAAAAATTGACCTATATTTATAATTTTTTGTGGGAAGATTTGCTACCCAATAAGTACCAAATTTCAGCAAATTCAGTTAAAAAACGCGCTAAATAACCTCAAAATACCGAAAATTGGGGGGTACCCTTATATGGGAGCTGTGGCTTAACGTGGACCGATTTTTTCCAATTTCAATAGGGTTCGTCCTTGGGCCAATTAAGTGACCTGTGCCAAATTTCATCCAAATCGGATCATAAATGCGACCTGTACGTTATTAACAAAAATACATGGACAGACGAACGGACGGACGGACATGCATAAATCGATTCAGAAAGTGATTCTATGCATATTCTCAAAAGGAACCATGGGTCTATCTCGATTATTTTTGCATGTTACAAACATATGCACAAAGACATAATACCCTGTACCACACTGTGGTGAAGGGTATAATGACAAATGACAGAGTTATCGCGCAAATAACTAGTAGTGACATAGAGTTGATATACAGTTTAAAAATAATACTTATTGCAATTTGTTGCCCACACCCATTGAATGTTACGACTGGCTTCCCATGACTGCCCAGTGTGGACATAGTCGTATAAATAACCTTTCTGATATTGAGTCACTAAATAGGTATATTTTGTCGACTTTTGAATCTTTCGATTTTGTTAAATCCTTTAAAAGTGGATTTTGGAATTTTAGTGACTAACACAAAACATCGAAAGTCGATTGTGAAAGTGGACTTTGCGATGTTCAACATGACCGGAAGTCAACTTTGGACAATTGGACAAAATAATATTTAATTGTTATATAACAATAAAACAACATTAATGTATAATATATTAAGATCCCTTTATGATATGACCATCAACAAATTATTTTTTGGTATCGCTAAAAAAGTAGCATATGAAAAACAATCGTTCGCTATATAGGGGTATTAAATTCAGTGTTATAATTTTTTTTTATTAATATTATTATTTATTTACAATGTTTTAGTTTTAACAATATACGTTCGCCTCCGCGCCAAGTGGCTTTTTAGAGGCCAAAAATGCAACTAATATTATTTACAATAAATGATAATTCAATTTCTGATGGTATACTATTATGCTCATTTGGACCACATTGAGATATTCGCTGGTTTGTAGTTTCAAGACAACATCTCACAACATTTAAGTTTGTGGCTTGGGTTCTTACTCTCCCAGTCAAAAATACATTTCTTTGAAAATTAAAAACTTGTGAACTTATTCCTTGAAGGAATTAAAATATGTATATCTATACTTGATACTTATAAAGACCACCAAGTGACAAAATTGTTTTGACGTAATCTCTATATAAATCTAATGTATGTGTCCGCAACGGAAGATAATAAACAATTTTTAAGGCTTTGTTTTGCGATACCTGCAAATGTTTAAGACCCTTAAGTGTCTTAGATGCGAATGAACTAGGAAATGGTTTTAGGTTTGTATTAAGCTTATACCTAAACTTATTAAGAATTCCAATTCCTGAAGAAATTTTGGTTTTTATCTTATGAATATGGTTATGCCAAGATAAATTCTTACTAATGCTTATCCCTAGATATTTGACATATTCTGATTCCTCAATCAGTGTACCGTCTATCTAAACACCGAATATAGAATGATTTTTTGATACATAAAGCTGTGCCTGAAAATGGATTTTTATTCAAAATTTTAGTGCTGAAAGGGTTGAAGCATACATAAACTTCTGTTTCCAAAACCTGATGGTAGTTATAGTTGTAAAATATAGCTATATCATCCGCAAACATAAAGAGTTTCCCCATAAAAGGAATGTGTTTCAGATCATTAATAAATATTTAGAATAAAACAGGACCAAGAACGCTGGAACACCACACCTGACATGGAGCCTACTGCTTTTCTAGTCCCCTATTTGGACAAAATGCTCTCGATTTGATAAAAAGTCTTGAAACATTGACAGTGTAGTTGTGGAGCAAAAACACACTAAATTTTAATAATTTTTCTCTTGAAAATCAACTCGAGGGGTAAACATATTTATTTTCAACAGTTTATTGTGTATAAGAAATCTAATAAAAATACCAAGGGAAGAATTAGCTTTGTTAATTATTTTTGTAGTTGCTTAGATCCGTAATTCGTTTTAATTTTTGCCTCAAAATAGGGCAAATTATCTAAGTGCAATGTCTTCATGTGACCACCGAATGACTGATTTATTATTTCCAATGACTCTATACGAACCAATAAGAACTACTTATTTATTTTTTTTTTTTAACAAAATACATTGTCCATGATAGACTGTCATACCATTCTGTCTGTCTGTCATCTACATTACATTTGTACATTAAGCAAATTACACTAGATATTTTTTCTCTACATAATAATCAAATAATTATTGTATAAACAAAAAAATATTTTTTTTATAAAAATTAAACTTTTTTTTTAGTTATTAAAAATTCAAAGAAACATTTTAATATTACAACAATTTCAAATTCTATTTCATTAACTACGAAAGAATGACTGTACTGTAAGATAATAAATTTATTCCAATGCCAAATAATACAATTTATAATAATGTTATTATTATGGATACGTTAAATTAAAATTTGAGATTTTTATTAATTCAAAATGTCGTTTGGATCTCTGAAATCTTTTTTCTATCTATATTTTAATTCTAACTGTCTATCTACATATAACAAAAAGCTATCTTTCTATCTCTCTCTAACTTTTTACCACTCTCTCTCTCTCTCACTAGTCCTATTTCCCTCTATATATACATATATAATTGTCTGTCTATTGATATAATTAATATTCTGTTCATTCAGTTATTTCACTTATAAGCTACTCATTTTCTTTCAATTTTCAAAATAGTTAACCAATAATACAAAAATAAAAAAAAATAATATTTTTTTATTATTTATAAAAACAAAAATGCAAAAAAAAATGTATTTTATATTTCTATTAAATAAAATATATTAATTTATATATAATATTCCGCCATAGAGTATGCAAGTGTGATTTGATGTTAACACCGAGTTAAAAAATAATAATAAAAAAGAAACTACAACAACAACGAAAATACAACTAAGAATATATTTAATAATGGAGAGTACATTTAATTAATCAGTTTGTTTTTTGTTTATTTCTCTTTTGTAATTTATTGGAACTACAAGAACAACAACACTTATATACTTATTGTGTTTTAAAATATTTTTTTATTGGTTTTTCTAAATATGGAAACTACTCTATGAATAAATAAATGTGCTTTAGTCGTAAAAATTAGTTCAATATAATTTAATGGATTTTTAATTTTATTTTTTGTGTTTTAAAAAATTATAATAAAAATGTGTATTTGTTTTATTATTATTATGAAATTTAGTTTTTATTTCTTTTTGTAATGAAAAAAAAAACATTCGTAATTTAACCACGATAACCCAAGTAATTGTGTTTTTGCTTTCCATTGCATATATGGAGAACAAAGAAGAGTTAACAAGTGAATATCTAGCAGAACCTCTCCAGCTCCGAATGAAAATGTTGTGTGGCATGCATTTTTCGATTCCATGACAACCCAGTCCAAAATTAAAAGTTATTAAAAATCTTAATTTCATTTCATTTATTATGTTTTTGTTTCTCTTGTTATTTTATTTAAATGAGATCCATACAGACATTGTTTTTAGTTTTTCTTATATAAAAAAAATATTTTAAAAATTTATTTTAAGATTCAAATTTGTTTTTATTAATTATCATTACGTTCGTTCATTTTGTCATCTCAGCAACGGCAACAGAATATATATATCTGATACACCTTAAGAGGTACGAAATTCTAGTGGAGTTCATCATCTCAATGAGCAGACGAGCCCTAGTTTTAAGCCATATTTAGGTTTAGTTGTTAAGTCAAAAAACGCATTTCAACCAAAAGGAACAATATCAAATATTATTTTAATAAAAATATTTTTTTCACATTTTTTAAGTTAAGTGTTTTATATTGTTATTTTTGTTTGTATTTAACTCACTCACATGGAAGTCTACACATTATAAAAAAACAACACACCTACGAAATGGTCACTTCTCCAAAGGAGTCATCACAATTGAATCAATCATCTTTCTAATTTTAGTTTTGTTGTTTTTTTTTTCTTTCACGATTCGCCAAAATGAAAAAAAAAATAAACGATAACGCCAATTCTATAGAAAACTTAGCCACCTATGTCTATGTCAACATGTTCCTACGGTCAATTTCAAAAATCGACGATTACAAAATGGTGAGTGGGTTTCGTAAAGAACCAAAAAAAAAGTAAAATTACAACAAAAAACAAACCCTTCCTTCTATCTTTCTTTAAAAAAAAATAAATAATTTATCACTACAACAACGACTACTACTAACAAACTAACACTTCAAGTGTACAAAGTGTGTCTTTCTCTGCGTAATTGTGCCCGCCTGCCCCTCTTTTTCGCTGATGCAAAAATCCTTAACATCTGTGTCGAGCAATTACAACAATTATAAAAAAAACACTTTTATACGCTGTGATTATTCTGCTTCTATTTTTCGTGACGTTACACTTCAAACGTTGAGTTTCAATGTCTGTTACTAACCAACTCCCTGCAATAATTCCAATTACCGCCGCCGCCGTCATTATAGCGGCCATGGGTCACAAACTATTTTTACCTTTCAATCGTATTTTCTTTTATCAGCTAAATAAATATTTTTGGGGTATACCAGCAAACAAACGAAGTCAGTGTAAAATACGCTAAAGCGAGCTTTGTATCCTTTATACTTCCATTTATGTTTCCTTCCACTTTCCTCTTTTATATATTATATTTGTCTTTAGTTTTATCAAAAATACATGTCAATATTCTACAACATGTGTTAGAACAAGTTCGGCCTTTAGGTAGAATAACAATCGTTCAATATTATTGAATTAATCCAAAAGTTTTTTTAATCATATAATTTGCAGTTTTAAATAGATCCTTTAGTTTATCGAGGTCTATATAGAAAACGGTTTCATATTAAAGTCATGTTCAAATTAACAATCAAGACAAACTTGCCGGACGACATTCTAGACAAATTCAGAATATTATGCGAAAAAATCGATTTAATCGGACAATCATAGTCCTAATATCTTTATGTAAGTTTTATGCAACATTGATGCATGCCATTCTCGAATCGTTTACATTCTCTAGGCAAAATTACGTGTCACGATGCATCATATGTTTTTTTTTTCTTTAAATCGGTGGATGGAGTACTCTGTTTTCGTACCTACCTTCTAATAGAAATAAGTAGTCAAGCGCAAAAGTCGACTTTTTGATGTTTTGCTTTTGACCAAATATTCGATTTTTAGACTCTTCGTTTCGCCTCTGACCAAAAAGTCGACTTTTCGATCTTTCGATTTTGTCAAACCTGCTCAAAATCGATTTTCGGCGTTTACCGACAACTGCAAAATCGACTAAAAATTAGATTTTTAATATGCATTGTTGTCAACAGACAAAATAAAGTTCTGTATTGTGTATTTTGGTCTTAATAACAATTCAGGAGGAAAGTCGATCTTGAAAAGTCAACTTTACGATTTCCTCAAAGATAATAAAGTAGATTAATCGATTAGTCGAAAGTCGATTTACTATTTTATCCCTATCCTCGCAAACGAGCATTTAGTACAGGATTTCATACAAACTTAATATTTTTATCTAATACAAATAATATATAGTTTCACAAATAGAAGATGTACCAGGAGCCAAGCAATTAAGGATAGTAAATGTAGGCTGATAACATACAAAGAGGAACAAACTCAGAGATGGAGAGAACATTTCAAAGAAATCAATAACAAAGCACAGCAGAATCGAAGATAATTACTTCGACCTTACATCATTTCAACTTGGAAGAAAAGAGTTGTTGTGATGTTACCCAAAAATGGCGACTTGAAAGATTGTAAAAACTGGAGAGGAATAACCCTGTTCAACACCATATACAAAATTCTGGCAACCATAATACAGAAAAGAATTCAAGGTCAAGTAATAAACATTCTGAGATGAACAAGCTGGCTTTAGACCAAATAGAAGCTCTGTGGATCAGGCCAACACCCTACGAGTCATAATAGAACAATATATAGAATGTCCACCTCCTGTACCTACCGTACATCGATTCCAAGCCAGTTTTCGATACTTGACATATGGGAGGCATTGAGCAAAAAGGTAATCTGAATAATAAGAGCGATGTACGAAGATGCAGAACTCTCAGTCCTTCACAACGGGAACATAAGCCAACCGTTTCGCACCAACGTATGTGTAAAACCAGGGTGCCCTCTGAATGAGGTCTGCTCTCAGAGAGGAGTTTTTCACGACATTTTGAAGACTTAGACTATGCGGATTATATCTGCCTTCTTTCTCACAAGATATCCAACATGCATTCAAAAGTAAAAAATCAGGAGAGACTGGCATGCAATGTTGGACTTAAGATTTATATCAAGAAAACAAAGGCCATGAAATGCCAGTACGGCAAACATCATATTACAAGGCCAAGCACTGTAACAACAGGTGCTGGCGCAGAAATAGCCGTAATTAAAAAGCTAACAAAAGCGAGAGTAGCATTCGACCAACTGCAAGGTTTATAGAGAAGCTCACATATATCCAGGAAAACCAAGCTTAAAATATTCGAAGCATGTATACAGTCGTTTCTGCTACATGGCAGTGAAACCTGAATTGTGTCAAATACCACCACGCAAAAGCTACAAGTTTTCATAAACAGATGCCTCAGGATGATATGCGGAATATTCTGTGCCAACACCATAAGTAACGTAAGCTGTGGAACCTAACGAACTAGGAACTCCTAAATGTAGGAACATAGACTTATATGGAAACATTTCTGTGATCATCCAAATACTTATAAAGGAGCCGACAAATCAATCTATACTTATAATTTTAATGTAATGGCCGATTAATATGTTGGGGATAAAAACGGACCAACAATTTTATTTTTGTCTATTTTGTCCCTCTAAGGACCACAATTATGACCCGAATTGTTTAGTGTTCCCATTATCAAACTAAAGGTCGCAAATGCGACGACATTTAGATTCAGGAATTTGCGCTTAAATCGCTTGGTCGGCAACGTCCGACGATACAACTTTGCATACAGCTTTAATACATTTTAATTATTTATGTTGTTAGAACATTATGCTATGAACTTAGGAAATATTCCAAATGTTCTAAATATACAGCAAAAAAAAAATGGAAAAAATTGTCCCTGTAAGTTTTAATTCCTTTTTTATTCAAAATCACATTTCCATATTAATCGAACAAATATACCATGAATCTTTTACAATTCATGGGGTATCTATTTTTGTCTTTAGTTGGATTCCAGTAGGTTTTCCGGCTCCAATAAAATAATCAAACCTGGTTATAACAAACAAAAGATCCAACAAATTAACTAAACACATGTTGTAGAATATTGACAACTTTCCTCAATATTTCAAATTGATTATTGATTGTTTTATTCCATTGTCTTCAATTAATTCACAAACCAAAAAAGTAATCACTAAAACACATAATTATTATATAAATGTTATAAATTCTACGGTGTAATTTGTTTAATATTTCATTATTTTGTTTTTCGTATTTTTTATTTGTATACATACAAACAAATTATCATATATATAAATATTGTCTATACATATACTTATATATATTTTATGAACAACAACTACTATGTAAATTTGTTTTCAAATCTAATCAATAATTGGACAAAGACAAATAAAACAATTAGATTGAACAGAAAAAATTATTTTAAATCGTTAATTAAATAAACAATTTACACCAGTAACAATTTTAATTAAATCCTCAAAATCCATAATCAATGGTCATATCTTGTGGCGATTTAAAATAATTTTTTTTTATCAATCAAACCAAATTTCCAAATTTTGTTCAAATAATATAACATTTGTAAAGACATTTATCTAAAAAAAATGATTAAATGCTTTAAAAACAAAACTTTTTAACGAAATGTCTTTTCAAATAAATGAAATCTATCTAATCGTCTGTCTATATGCTAGTGTAACTCTACTCTATTCTATATGTCTGTCTATATATGGATCGCTTATCCAATATAAAATCAGTGTTTCATATAAATTTATATTTCAGTTAATTTTCTTTTTTTCTTTTCCCAAGTCCTATCCTACTCCTCGTAACTAACTCTCGCTGTATCTCTCTCTCTCTCCCACATACTATCTCTGTCTGTATCTGTCTGAATTTTCGTTAATTGTCTATAAAACAAAAACAAATCTGTTTGGCTCGTTTGAATACGTAAACGACAACTACTAATGTTTATTTGAATTATTCGTAACGACTTCCGTTTCCTAAACATTTTCGATTTCCGTTTTTCATTAAAATTCACATAAAATTTGTTCAATATTTTTTTCGTTTTTTCTTTTCCAAATTATATTTAATTTATAACTCCACTGGCTTTTGCTTTTGTCACAAATTATTTGTGTTTTCAATCTTAACTGTACAGATTCGATTTGTTCAAACTCATGAATTTATTACTCTTGTCATTTCGTAACAACATATTAAGAATATATATCACAACGTTATACGTCGAAGATGGTGTTGGAAAGTGACTAAAGAATATCTAATATCTGGATCAAAATTACAATAACAATAGTCATCCTCAATACATAATTTGATTATGGCAGCGAAATAGATTTCCACCTAGGAATCCGTTGCACCAGATACAACAACATCTTCAACGTATAAACGTACTATGAATTGATTTACATTTTGTTGCATTATCACATGTCGTTTTCTGTTTAGTTCTATTGTTTTTGTATGTACGTTTCCGTTCTATAGGATAAGTTGAGATTTGTAAATGGGGTTAAATACCGATTTTTTGTGTATCGATTAAGTTAGGTTAAATCAAGCATTTGTGTCCAACAAGTACAGTTGTTTGGTATAGCTTTTGCAGCATGTTATGAAAATGAAACCAATGCGTCGTGATACCTTCATCCAACGCGCACTTTTTGAAAATCACAAATGTGAAATTTTATATTTGAATTTATTTAAAAAAAAGAAGTATATAAGATGAACTATATAAAAAATTTTGAGTTGTTGCCACTGCTTAAGCGTACTTTACACAAATAAAATAATATCAAACTAGAATCTGAGGGTGCACTATAATTATGTATTTTTATTAATGAGTTTTTAAAATAATTTTTGACATTCATATCTATCAACCGATCAGGACATTTATGTATAGGCTATGCCAAAGGAAATTGCTCCA